CGCTAGCCTTTTCCCTTCACGGGGTAACCCGCCAGGCAGCGGGGACTGAGGCTTTCTGGCGCCCCATACTCACCCTTCACCGGGGAGGTGCAGGTATGGCATTTCCTGGAGACTGCCCTGCCACAAGCAGCCATACCACACCATCCAGCCCCAGCAGGGTGTAGTTTTGGGTCATGACCCAGGACAAAGAACTTCCTGCCATCTCTATAGTTCCTGCCCTGTACTCCAAGGATGTTATGTGAGCTGCAGCTCCAGGCAGGTGATGTTCCCCCTCCAGCTGCTTGCAGCAAACTGCTGGCCCTGCTACTCAGGGCCTGCTCTTACATTAGGCAGCTGGTCCCATTTCCCAATCAGGTGGCCTCCTGCTGGCCATGTGACTCCTGATTGGGAGTGCAGCCACCTGCAGGCTGCTCTGCTGCCTATTCTGGCCCCGAAAGTGGCAGGCACTAAAGATGCCCTGGCACAGGAACCAACGTCCTGCTATGGAAGAGCTAAAAACTGCCACTGAATTGAGGGAAACAACCATGCGGCCCAGCTGGCCATCAGCCCTAGCACCAGCCTGCACATCACTCTGGCAACAGAGCAGGGAGCCCAGGGCACTCTTGGTGCTGCCATGCCAAGCAACACACCTTGAATAGGTGGAAGTACGCTAGCTTGGTGTCAATTTCCTCCTCTTTTTGGACCAACATGAGGAGGTTTTCCATGTCTACCACCATTCCCTGACACAACACAGATCTGACACCCGGCTCTGTCATGGGAAAAGCAGGGGAAGCAGGACAGCCCATATCCTGCTTATATAAAATGTTGTCAACACACACTCAAGAGGCCACAGACAGAGGGATGGATAGGAGCACCGCCAGCACAGTGCTTGAACACAGCAGCCTGTTAAAGGTGATTTGCCCTGTTGAGGGCAGTCATTACTCTCAGCCATGAAACAATTGCACGGGTATATTTCCATCATCCAAGGAACAAGCGAAAGCCGGGAGCTGGCAAGAGCTGCCGGGAGCTGGCAAGAGCTGTGAGACCCAAGGCCTGAGGGAGGCCTTGGGTCTCACAGGGGCTGCCTTGAGTCTAAAGAAGGGTTGGTATGGAGTCTAAACAGAACCAGCACTCTAACCCAGTGGTGCTGGAGCTTTTGCTCCAGTGGACAGGTGAGTAGCAAAGGGTGGGTCCACGAGACAGATCCAGTCCATGGGCCCAAATTGTGACTGTGGCCCCACATTGAATGGAGCTTGCTGCCCCAGCCCTGCACGTGCCAACCATAGTCCATTCCCCACTACCAGTCCTGCCCAAGCCAGATTGGATCCCAGTGCCCTATCTGCAGCCCTGCACAAGCCAGATCAAGCCCACTGCCCTGTCCCAGCCCTGCACATGCCAGCAGAATCCAATGTGCAAGGCCATGTCATCTGGCCGGAGGGACTTGGAAATTTGTCTGCAGGGGATTGATGGATGTGTGAATTGCCAAAGCTCCCACTGCCTTACACCCACTCGCGGATAAAGTTTTGGACCCTTAAGGGTTTCATAGACCCATTCTGGGCTGCAGGCCAGGGGTTGAGTGCCCCTGCTCTAACACAACACCATCTTGGCCCCCAACTAATGGACCACGAGAGGCGCCCCCAGCTGAGATTTTTAGAAGGGCACATTCTTTCTATTGGACTCTGTTTTGGACACTAGAGTCCAAAACAGAAAGTCCATATGAAAGAAATTGCTAGGGTGGGTGCCGGTAGCCTTCTGTCCATCTCTCAGTGGTTGCCTTACAACTGCTTTTTGTAGTTAAAGGGAAGATTTCTGGCACAGGCACTCTCAGGCCAGTATAGGACACCTCTTCTTAGGACTTCTCCTCATGAGTCCCGGTTCTTACACTTTTAGAGTATGGTCTAATATCTTTCAGCCTTCACAACTGTTTCCTCCAGAAGTCCAGGCCCTAGGTCACATTTACTTCCCAAGACTGTAGGGACACCCTCACTTACACAATAGTAATCTAACATTGTAAGGACCCAGACCTGTGCCACACGTATACCCTTGTGATGTAAAGCAGTTATGTGCAACAATGGAAATTACACTAGGGAAAAAAGCAGATTGACAAAGAGTATATCTAAGAGTACACACAGTGTGCACCATCCCAGAGCCTTGCCACAGTGGCAGGAGTGACAGGTAGAAGTATACTTGTTTGGCGTCCATGTCCTCCTCTTTGCAGATAGACATGAAGATGTTTTCCACGTTCATGGCCACGCCCTGACACAACACAGACTTAAACCTGAACCTGCTACAGGGAAAACAGGGGAACCAGGGCAGCCCACATCCTTCTTCTATAAAGCCTTGTCAGCGTACACTCAAGAGCTCTTGGACAGAGGGCCGGACAGGAGCACCCCCACAAACAAGCAGCTTGAAGACAGCAGCTTATTAGAGGCGATCTGCCCTGTTGCGGGTGGTTTGTACTCTCAGCCATGAAACTGTTGCACGGGTATATTTCTGTTATCAAAAGAACAAACGAAAGCTGGGAGCTGGCAATTTCTGAGGGAGGTCTTGGGCTGACAGCGGTTGCCTTGAGTCTAAAGAAGGTTTGGCCTGGAGTCAAAACGGAACCAGCACTCTAACCCAGTGGTGCCCGAGCTTTGGGCCCCAGGGCACAGGTGAGTGGCACAGAGTGGGTCCACAGGCCAGATCCAGTCTATGGGCCCACATTGTGACTATGGCGCCACTCTGAATGCAGGCTCCTGCTTCAGCCCCACATGTGCCAACCATAGCCCATCCCCCATTACTAGCCCTGCCCACACCAGACTGGGCACAATGTCCCAGCTGCAGCCCTGAACATGCCAGATCAGGCCTGCTGCCCTGGCTCAGCCCCACAAGTGCCAGATCTGTCTCTGCTGCTTCAGCCCTGCACATGCCAGTGGGATCCAATGTGCAAGGCCATGTCATCTGGCTTGAGGGGCTTGGAAATTTGTCCACAGGGGATTGATGGATGTGTGAATTGCAACAACTCCCACTGCCTTGCGCCCACCCATGGATAAAGTTCTGGACCCTTGAGGAGTCCCATGGGCTTCAGGGCCTGAATCTGGCCTGCAGGCTCAGGGTTGAATGCCCCTGCTCTAATGCAACACCAACCCCATCTTGGCCCCCAACTAATGGACCGCATTAGGTTCCCCCAGTTGACATTTGTAGAAGGGCACAGTCTTTTCATTGGCCTCTCTTTGGGGCACTAGAGTCCATGTTTCCAGCTTCTGCTTGCATCTTTAGAGCTAGAAACTTACTCTTTGTTTGTAACGAAAGCTAGAAACTTCCCTCATCCTAGCAGTTGAGCCATGAAGAAAAGCATGAGTATTAATGCAAGGTCTGGCAACAGCATAAGAGCTGATGACAGTGGAAGGCAGGGAACATGAGTTCTGGCTCCAAGGTGTCAGGAGAGGGTTTGTCCACCTGGAAGAAATTGCTAGGGTGGGTGCCGGTATCCTTCTGTCCATCTCTCAGTGGTTGCCTTACAACTGCTTTTTGTAGTTAAAGGGAAGATTTCTGGCACAGGCACTCTCAGGCCAGTATAGGACACCTCTTCTTAGGACCTCTCCTCATGAGTCCCGGTTCTTACACTTTTACAATATAGTCTAATATCTTCCAGCCTTCACAACTGTCTTCTCCAGAAGTCCAGGCCATAGGTCAGATGTAGTTCCCAAGACTGTAGGGACACTCTCACCTACAGAATAGTAGTCTAACATTGTAAGGACCCAGATCTGTGACACACGTATACCCTTGTAATGTACAGCAGTTATGTGGAGCAATCTAAATTACACTAGGAAAAAAAGCAGGTTGGCAAAGAGTATATCTAGTAGGCCTGTGCAAGTAGGCAGCTATTCAATCTGGTGTCCTATACAGGCCTGAGAGTGCCTGTGCCAGAAAACTTCCCTTTAACTACAAAAAGCAGTTGTAAGGCAACCATTGAGAGATGCACAGAGGGATACCGGCATCCACCCCAGCGATCTCTTCCAGATGGACACACTTTCTGACACCCTGCATGTTCCCTGCTTTCCACTGTCGTCAGCTCTTAAGATGTTGCCAGACCTCACATTGACACAAATCAGACTCCCAGGTGCCAAATCAGACAAAAACCAACAAAGCTATAGATATTTCATTGATTCCCCCATTATACCCTATGGCCAGATCTCTGAAGTGGTTCCGAAGCTTTTCCAAAGGGGATCCGAACTGCTTCGGAAAGCCTAAAGAAGCCACCGCTTTGATCTGGACATGGTGCTTCAGAAGCTGAAGTGTCCGAAGCCTCTCCAGATCTGAAGCACGGTCTGAAGCCTCGCACAGCCCTAATATCTAGGGGTGTACACAGTGTGCACCATCCCAGAGCCTTGCCACAGTGGCAGGAGTGTACCTGTCGGTCTAGGAAAAAAACAACTACACCAGGACACATGTAGACAGAGGATCTCCTACATATTTTTCCTGGAGCAGCAATACCCCAGAGTGATTTATGCTGCCTATCTGCTCCTTCCTTATGCTACTACAAAGGTTGACTACACTGGCTTAAGACACACTGTACATCCGCACCAGATGTAATTCTATCTTTTCCATACTATGCCCTTCAATCAGTGATTTTTACACACAAAAAACTGACACTTTCCCCCTCTTCAATGCTGAGCTGGGCAATCGGACAAGAAACAGTTTCCATTAAATCCACAGACAACTACAATGTGGGAAACAGGTTTATTTCCATCATTACACATAAACAATACAGACAGCCAATTAAATGTCATCTGGAAATCAATTGGTACTGAAACCCAAAGCCCCATCCCCCTCCAGGTTTGTGACAGATATGAAAGATCTGTCCAGAGACAAACATGGCTACAGACTCAGCACAGCCCCCAGTCACTGCGCCAGGAGGGACACTAGGGCAGATGTACTTGGAAGGGATTGCAGGGTTCAGAGCGCTGATGTACCCTGGCAACGGCTGCAGTCCCTGGACCAGGGCAGCGGGCTCACTGTTACCCCCTCTGGCTGGGTCAGGTCTCCCCCTCCTTGGCAGCAGTGTCTCCTTGTGTGGCTCCCTCTCCCGCCTGGATGCTGATGGGAATGGCTTTCCCCTCTGCGGGCTGCAGGGCCAGGCGCGGTGCCTCAATGCGGAGCTGTCCATCAAAGCACAGGGAGCAGGTCCCAGCCTCCACATCCAGGCCCACAGGCAGCAGCATTTCCCTGCGCAGCTCCCGGTACTCCACGAAGCTGTCTCCATCCTCTCCAGGGCTTTGCTTCTCACGCCTCCCTGTCACTGTCACCTTCCTGCCCTCCTGCCTCACTGTCAGCTCCTCCGGCGAGAAGCCGGGCACGTCCATGCGCAGCTCGAACTTCTTGTCCTGCCGACCCCCAGACTCTGGCTGCTGCTTTGTGGCCCCAGCCTGGGCGGCTCCATCCTGCCTCGGCTCCCCTTGGCCCACAAGCTCCAACCACAGGAGCGGCTGGGGCGCGGCGCAAGACAGGGCCA